TCCTGCATGAAGGAGAAGAGGACCCAGAGAAAGCAGTTCTCAGAACCATTTCCAAAGCTGAATTGGCCTTAGCAACTGATGATGAAGCTCTTGCAAGCTGGGACAGAATGGCCTCAAGAAAAAGAATCTGTTCCCAGAAGGAATTTCAGCAATGGGAGCAGTGCACTGGTTGGACCTACTCTGACCAAGCATTGCTATCTTCTCCAACATTGAGACCTTGGCTGAGACCTTGCACACAATATGTTCATGACTTCATGCATGGGATGGTAAGCAATGGCACTTTGAACATTGGCCTCCACTTGGTTCTCCAGCATTTACAATCCCAAGGCCTTCCAGCTTGGAATGAAATGTCTGCATATTTGAAGTTGTGGTGTTTACCTGCAGCTGTGCAAAAAGTTGGTGTTTTGTCTGCATTGTTTACCCCTGCCAAAGTGGAGTCACACAAAAGTGCAAGCAAAGTGAAGGCAACTGCAAGTGAAATGCTTGGCCTATACACCATTGTACAGTATCATGTACAACAAATTGAAGCCAAAGGTGGGGTTAGCCTTGAAACAGAGGCTTTCCTGAAGCTTTGTCACATGATGGACTTGTTAATGGCAACATTCATGGGGTCTGTCACTGGCACCATGCTTGACAACGCTGCTTCCAATGTATTGACAGCTTTCAAAAATGCTGGATATTCAGAACATTGCATTAAAAAATTCCATTGGTTGCTGCATTATGGTGATGAGCTGGTGCAGCATGGAATGCTGCTTCCTTGCTGGACGATGGAAAGAAAACACAAAGATGTGACCTTGGTGGCCACCAGGGTTCAGAATTTGCAGAGCTTTGAGCAAGGCCTGCTGGTGGAAGTCTTAGGGCATTGCCTACACCAATTGGCCCACAAGGCTTGTGACAATGGCTGTGCCCTTGAACTCAATGCCAAAGCTCCCAAGAAGGTGGTGGACTGGTTGCAATCCAATTTGGACCTCCACAGCACTGACATTTACTCTTGCAAAACTTTGGTTTTGAAGGGTGGGGGTGTGGCAGCAGTCAATGATGTTGTGCTGCTTTCAAGTGAAGCCAACAAATGGGATGCAGGCAAAGTTCTGCTACATTTTGCCATTGGGTCTGAGCCTTGGACCATTGTGCAAATGTTTGCATTGCTGGACCATCAGAAGGGAAATGCACTGTGGCAGGAGACTAGCAACTGGCTTTGTGTGGCAGCTTCAGGAATATTGGCAGCTGTTACATATAGCCATTGTAAAGCAGGAGTTTTGACTTTGATTCCATTCCATTTGAGATGAAAAAATGGCTGCTTGCTGGGGGGTGGAAGGGTGCTTGGTGGGGGATGGAAGCCTGCAATGGCAAAAGCCTTCATGGCTAGAATTAAAGCCTTGCATGGCTCTTCTCTGCAAGCCCTGGGTGGCATGCAATTCAGCTAGCAATGGTATGCACCCATGTCCCAGTCTTTGGCCAACCTTGCAGACATCCTTTGATGGGTGTTGAAAATGTAAAAGATAAAAATGCAGAAGCCAGCACGATATCACGAAGTCTTCCTTGCTTCGGGTATTTTTGAACACTAGGGTACAAATTCTGCAACAATTTCAATATGTTTTTGCAAAAAAAAAGTAATTCAATAAAGAAGAAAATATAGTATGTTTTTTTCTGCAAAAATATGTGCAACTTTCCACCAAACCATGTTTTGAGCGAGCTTAATTTCGTTTTGCAATTGACACTTATAAACACTTAACTATAGGTTAGCTAAACATCTTAATCATCTTAACCTACTAGCAAAGGCCCAGCCCATCCAAGCACTTAGTGGTCGCAATGAGTAGGGACAAGGATCTGGACCAATGATATCCGCGCTTGGAAGTCATGGCCGGGTCAATGCCGCTACCAAATCAGTCATTGTCGTTTGCCTGGATATCCCCTGTATCAATCAATGAACCAATAGTAACAGTAACAGTCCATGTATGACGATTTGACCCGATCCATCGGTGTGTGCTTTTTTTTGTGGCTGGAGGTCTTCTTCAACGAGAGTTTCTACGCCACACAAAGCAATGCAGGCACCCAGTGCATGGCTCCATTGACCTTGAGGTCGGATTTCTGCATGGCGCCACCCCGGCGCAGCTGGGAACGTCTGGGCGACTCGGTCACGAAGTCGCTTGAATGCGATATGACATTTCCCGACTCCGGTTGGCCCAGTTACCACTATAGATACTATAGATAGTCAACCAATGGTTCAAGTCAAGGTCACCAAGTGCTGTTGCTCTTGGTTGCATCGAAATCGGGATTCTTGGGAGGGGATCCGCATGGTAAGCCAACAAGGCAAACGATGGCGAATTCACCCCGGCATGAGGCGCATGGAAAAAAACCCAACTGAGCTCACACCTTCAGCGATGAGTTTGGTGCCAGCTGGCACCTCCTCCTCACATGGGTGAGCACCGCTCCTATTCCGAAGATGTGTAATCCATGTATGGGCACCAATATGCATGTCCTACCCCAGCCATACCTCGAAAAGAACTGAACAGTGTCCCACACAACTTTGGATTATTCATACATGATTTACGCAGAAGCACAGAAGGCACAAAAGCATGTGATGGCCCCAATGATGGTTAATCATACATGGTTTAAGCATGTATGAAATCACCCCAATGATGGTTAACCAACACAAAAAGCCATGGGCACACTCCCCTGTTGTCATGGCCCTGTACCATGTACTTCTCGAAGACACAATTGACAGACTCTCTTGGAGCCTGCAAGTTCCTTCCCAAACACGTCCATGAGTGACCCCTACGGGATGGGATAGATATGGATCAATGTCTACAATTGACCCCTTTTCATACGTAGGAACAGTATGTGTAGGTCCATAGATCTCTTCCCACAACCCCTACTTGATGTGGCTAAATTGATGATCAAAGCCCAAATCCATCTGTCAATCCCAAAGCAACTCATCTTTGGCTGAGTCCTCAGGACCACAAAACACACGCGGAACCCTGAGGACTCCTTCCACGCCACATCCACCATGGACTGCAGGTTGTGGTCGCTCAGCGACACCTGAGGTGTCCAACGGGTCGAAGGGTTCGGCCGAAGGAGGTCGTGGGCTGCCAGGAGCGGGGAATCCAACGAGCAAAACACCAGAACAGGCGGTAGAGACTTGACCGGACCGGATGCCGCGTGACTGCAGCGGTTCGGGTCGTTCGTGGCTCATGTTTACGTATGTAAAGTGTTGGGATACCGGCGTCTACTCAATTCGAGGGGTTTAGGAGTGGTTGGGTGCACCCCCGGGAGGATTGGTTCATGGTCTTGATTTCCACCTCCATTGGTCAGATGGTCAGCTGCTGACTCCTGACTCCCTCTCCTCCGCTCAAGGGTGCTGCCTTGTGGGTGTCCCATGAAAACGAGCCATCAGATTGTAATAATAACAATAACTATATGGGGTACACATGATGACCCACAGCCAAGTGGCAACGCTCATCAAGTTGTCATTGCTTTTCAGCGCCTGGCCACGCAGCGGTGGGAAAACACAAAACACACAATGGACCATCTCGATGCTTAGATGAGTCGATGAAAGAGTTTAATTCTGCTGAAGGAACCAACAAACAATTATAAGAACTACATCTTCCCCAAAACCGAGAACGGGATTTGCCCAGACTTACTTGGCCAAAAACCACGCATACCATTTCTTGGAGGAAACAGTCCCTGAACGAGTCGTTCGTGGACACCGTGGTTACGCTTATGGCCATGCTGACGAAATCCGAAGAGCAAACAGGTGGTGAACTCACTCACTCGACTCCATGACAAGATGATTTCAGGTAGTGTAACTTCTGTGTTCCGAGTTTGGCCCTCTCTCTCTCAGTATGAAGGAGACTTGTGGATGGGACATCTGTAAGAATGGACGATGACTCTGGGAACATGTTGTTCCTTCACATAAATCCATATGTATCACGTGGGGAAAACCACTTCTATGCCACTTCTGTTCGAGCGTAAGCTGGCTGAATGATGTTCATGCATTCCACAGCATTGCTTGGACCACACTCCTGTGGTATGTGGATCAACTTGCACCCATCTGGGTCACAACAGGTGAGCCTGGTTGGTTGGTGGCATCAAAAGCCATTAGCTGCCATTTTGTCTATACGACGACTGGATGTGAACCAGCCGGAGCTGTCCCCCCCAAACGACTCCAACATGTCATGTTCTCTCTATTCCTCTGATGTGGTCCTTTTCTGTACCTTTGTGGCCTGTGTGCTCTTCAAACATCCTCAACACGCAAACGACTTGAAGATCTTCATGCAACACATGTTTTCACCAAGGGTGTGGGTTGGGTGAGCCAAGTGCTGTTCATTCCCACCACAGCCATCCCCTGTCTGGCACCCATGTGATGGTATAAATATGTACCGGTATATCATACCCAGACACTCCATGGGACTGCCATATTTACATACATTGACTCCTGAAACCACTCCAATGTAGGCATATATGGCATACATGGGGTGTCTGGGATATATATTCACCATCTGACCCACTGGCACTGGTAACCCTCTTTCGGCCCGAACGGCCAGGTAGGAGCACGTGAAGGGACACCTCGATCATCTCGAGACGCTCTTGCTCCGTCTTCGAGCTGGGAGGCTTTGTCACCAGCTCCTTAGCCGTCGCGCACAAGCCTCTAATAGGGCCTTGTCGTGAGAGAATATCATATAGAAGGTTGATAGTTGACACCTCAACACATGTTTCCCCGGACCCCAGAGACGGTAACATATGGTAACACCTTTTCATGTGGGGAGTTTGCTTCATCAGCAGGCTGTTCCAGGTGGTCAGATCTCACCAAAGGTTCAGCTGGGCTGATTTGACCCGCCTGGGCTGAACTGACCCGCCTCAGTTCAGAGCGCCACCGATGTACATCTCACCATCTATCAGAATCTATCATCATCTACTCAACATGGAAGATCATGGAAATATTGCTCACCCCCCTTCCAAAGAGCATGTTTCCCTATCATGTTAGTTCCAGGAGTGTATCACCAAGATCAACTGTGCAAGAACAACCGGACTTTTTTCTCGCACCACTTTCGAGAAGGAGTCATACTCAAAGATCTCAAAGCGCGGTCATTGATGCGTGTTGGCTGTCAAAGCTACCGACCTCACAGCGAGAAGTTGGCGCAACTCCCACCCACATTCTGGAAATTCGGGCGTAAACCCTCCCAATACAATCCAAATGGGGGGGGAGGTTATGCCTACAGCACTCCTTTGTGGACTCTAGAGGAAGCTGCTAGGGTCCCCGTAAGGACCGGGGGTGCATTGATGAAGCCTCACCAGGTTCGATCTTAGATGTGAATGATGCGGAAGAATGGGGGCTAGTTACTTGGGTATTTTCTACATGAAGAGATTTGTGGAAGGGATCTCTCTCTTTCTCTCCATGTTGCGGACGTCTGCCATACAACTCCACCCGTTTCGGGTCTGCGCCTTCGAACAGAACACTTCAAATTCGCAGACCCGAACTTCCAGCATCTTCAACCCAAATCGCTAGAAAGTACTAGCTTCAAAAAGACCACATGCACGTCCTCACCGGTGTTTCATGTGTGTGTCAACGAAAGGTGGTCATGTCGGGGTTGATCCTTTTCGAGTTTCATGTGAGCGACCCCGACTCGACTGACTCGACTATTTGACTCATGCATCTTCATGCCACAGCTCTTCATGCATCACACACCCGGCCTGAAAAGGGGTGCCCGACCTTCCTCCATTAAGCTATTGATTTTCTTGGATGGTCTCGTCCCGCGAGCCTTGCTTTTGACGTATCGATGGATCCATGACCATTTTAGAACCTGGGTTTAAGGTCACAATGACGATTGATGCTTTCGGGTGACGGCATTGGATGCTCAAACTGGCCGCGCCCCCAGCCCGGGCGCCTGCACCTTGGCCCTGACCTTATTGGCCTGCGAGCAACTGATCAAAGACTCCATCACGGTTCAAAGTTCAAAACAGGATAGCAGTTTTTGCCCACCAACAAAGAGACGCCTTCCAATCACCCTCAAAAACAGAACACAGTACGTATATTACAAAGTATTTCGTCAAAACGAAGAGACTCAACGGCATACTCGATTCTGTCTTGGCGACATGGCCCCCTCAGAACAATTATATGCTAACTCGCAATATGTGCAATAGTTTGTGACCTTCTCCATTGCCAAGCCCAACATGTGTATATCATTCTCTGTCCTAACGCGCTGCTCCATACATGTCACTCGCGAACCAACCGGCTGCACTTCCCACTCGCTGCCCCCGCGACTCTCCGCGACTCTTGGCCTTAGCCGTAGCCTTGCTAGGCGTCGCCTCATCCATCGGCGCAAGCGGCCTGGGCCATGGGAACTCACCCAAGCCAAGCCATTAAGCCATTGGAGGATATTGGAGGGACCGGGTGAGGCCGGTGAGGAGGCCAGTGGAACACTTGGGAACCAACGAGAGTTCATGGAAAGGATGTACCAGTACCTTAAAGATCTCATGCCGGAAGACGATCTTGGCTGGTTGGTTGGTGCGGTGCAAAAGGTGTTGTTCGTTGCGTTACCCATCCTCCGGCAATGTTAGCCGTGCCCATTTGTGTGTGTGTCCCAGCTCAGAAGGTAAAGATGTCAAAGGGGTCTTTCTTCGAGATCCGTTTCTTTTCAAAGGCCTCCCAGCTGGATTTGGGTGGATGTCATGTCCTGGTCTTCTGTCGGGCATTCCAATCCTTCCCCACTGCGTTCGTAACGCAGCGAACGCAGCTCAACAGCACGGCCATGCGGCACATGTGGCGCCACATGCCGCGAGCCGATGGTCTGGTTTTGGCCTTCATCCACCTGCAGGTGCTGAGCAAAGGAGCCGAGTTGGCTAATTCCCTCCTCTCTGCGCACAAAGAAGAACAGCAAATATGTATATATACCTCCTCTACATACCTTTGCGAGCATTACATAACAAAGGCCATCAAAGGCCTTCAGCACCTTCTATGCTATGAAACCTTGGTCAAACACCGTGCTTGTGCTATGCTCCGTGACGACCGTGGCAACCGAAGCAAGGTCCAAGCCACCTTGGAAGCTCCTGTAGGCAGCGCCTCCCTCGCTCCATCTGGTGACAGGTGCCTCTTGGATCTCCTAGGCGTGCGCTGTTGGGATAGGCTGGAGCCCCAGCAAGGTGGCTCGTGGCAAGTCCGAGTCACTTGTTTCTTTGAGATGGGAATTCCCCTCTCCGCCGGGTTTGGCGTTCGGCTCCAAATATGTTCGGCTCACATGCTTGCCTGCTTTAGCCGCTTTAGCCTCTGGGGCGCCAAGAGTTTTAAGCCAGGAGTCACAAACGGGTGGTGTTTGATCCCCAAGTGAGTGGATGTTCTGGGTACCCCTAACCTCCATGGATCGCACCCCCGAGCTTCCTCACATCGGGCCCGTGACCTTTGGAGGTGTCGAAAACAGGGTGCGCGGGGATGGCATGGGGAAACGTCTTAGATGCTTAGATGCGTTTTGGATACGTTCGGGGTTAGCCCATGGAAACCCATTCCAAGCCGGATGAGGACATCAACGGAAATCTGTATATTGATTATGTTCATCCCCTTTTATCATCAGCTCCTTCCAGCGTGAAAACCAGGTATGGACGGACAGGTTTATCAAGAAGTCTTTGGACCATGTAACAAGCCTAAACTTTCATTAAGAGTTAGCTAGGAATCGGCAAACTTTGCCCACAAGAGAGCTAGTCAGTCCACAGCTCATCAACTCGCTCCATTCCAAGCAGCACATGATGCTTCTTTTTGTGCTTCTTGTGTTTCTTCTGCATGTTCCGATGGGTGGCCTAAGCTTCCGGCGCTTAAACAAATAGGTATAAATGGACTCGACCTCCCCAGCTGATTGCACCGGAAGCTCCGAGCGAGCAAGCAAGATCGTGACATCTCAAGAGCACTGTTAAATCTCGTGTCCAAACAATGCATATAATACGGTATATACATACCTGCCAGGACCCCCAAGGGGTGGTTAATGGACACTCCTTAACAGCTAAGGGCCTATAAATAGACACCCCATGGAGGGTCCTGGTATACATATATTTACCATAATTGGGGTGGTTTCAGGGATCAAGGATGGTCAAGCTAAACATTCCATGTACATACAAGATCTGTTTGGGGGATAGTGCCCGCATCTTCCAACGATCTCAACTCGACCCTCCGGTGCTCTGAGGGTGAGGAGTGCATGGGACGCCAGCTACATATGCGACATGAATGTCTTCGTGTAAGAATGGTGCCCTCTCAGGTGGTTTGACAAGAAACCTTGCGCAGTACTTGGTAGGTTTGGCCAGTATGTTCGATGAATGACTACAATCACGCTCCTGAACCCAGTAGTTGGCTGAACCCCCCCAGCAAACTGGGCTGCAACTTGCAGTGAACCAGAAAATGCAAGACAAACTATATTTTTTGTTGCCGAACCCAATGTCAAGCCAAACTTCTGGCATGCATTATTTCAGTCGATTCTCGAATCTAAGGAGCTCAAGCGCGTTTTCGAACGAGGCCCCAAACTCGAAAAAAAACATCCATTGGACGTCTTTGGACCTGATCTCCGACGTCAAAAAAAAACCACCTGGCGCTCAGTGGGAAGGGTCTTCATGTTGGTCTAGCACAACCTCTAGCCACAGGTCCCAGTTGCGATAGTGCCCACTGCGGTCTTTCCAGCGTTCGATGAGCTTTCATTCCCCGCGTGGTGCATCCTCGGCCAAGTTGCGATACAACCAGAGGTGCCCAAGCCAAACACTCCGGACTAGCATATTTGTCCGATCAGGTCTGGCTACACTCCTGAAAACTAACATAGACCCTGACGTCCTGGTCCCATGGAAGACTATTTTCCTCTACCAACCAGGGGTTTTCAGGTTCCATGTTAGTCTTCCAGGGTGTAGGGGTGGTTTATTTTTGGGGTCGACATGTCTGTTCCAGTCCCAGGGAGTCTCTGGGCAAGGGGAGCCTTTTTTTGGAGGAAAGTGCATCCCTGCACGGGAAAACCCACCAGCGACCAAAAGCCCTTCTAGACTCCATCACCCCAAGCTCAAGAAAGGAGTGTACCCAAGACTGGCTTTAGAGACACAGACCAGCAGTCACAAAGGGGTGCTTAATGGAGGTTAGGGGTGCCCATTATCCACTCACTTGGGGATCAAACACCACCCCTTTGTGACTTCTGGCCCCCCTGGCGCTCTCTTTTTCTTGGAATCAGGCCAAATCCCCCACATCCGCTTCCGCGGCGTGTTAAAACGGGTTTTCGGTCGAGGATCAGTCTTCGATGTGGGGCAACCACCACGACCTGACAAGGCGCGCTGGGGATGTGGTCCTTTGACTGGCGTGCGTGTGCGGGAGGGTTGGTCCGCTACTGCCGCTTCGATGGATGCAAATGGACAGACATCTGCTGCAAATGGACAGACATCTTCGTTGGACCGTCTTGGACCTTCAAATCACTCTCGTCCTCGCTGATCTTGCTGGCATTCCTTGGCAACGAGTCTCCGGTGGGCCAGGGCGTAGAACAACCCTTCGACTGTTGAATGTGCTCTTGGGCGCGTGCTGCCAAGGGAGCTCAACAATTCCCGCTCCCTCGGTGTCCCTCGAACATAAAGGTTAACCCTATTTCCACCAGTTCATGTTGAGAGTGGAACTCAATACCCCAAACAGGTTATCTACAGTGATCTACAGCCAGGGGGGGGGGCTCCTGTCCTTCCCTCTATCAGAACATATGTCTTTTTAGGTAACACGACTGTCAAGGTGCCACACAGGGTTCAACAGGTCCACCACTCCACTCGTTCTGGGAGGGTCGTTCTGAGCAATACCGCCATGGCCACACTCTCTGGGAGTATGAGACCGCCCATGTCATGCAAAACACGTTAAAGCGGCTTCTTCAAGAAGGAAACACCAGGTTTTTTGAAGCGGCAAACATTTGTTTCAGACCGCATCCAATGCATCTCCGCGCGTGCATCCGTGCAAATCCACCAACTATACACCCATTGTTTTCCAATTTGCCCTCTGCTCCTGGTCATGGAGTCTGTCTATAGATGTCTATAGTACCATTTGCAAATGGCTTTGATCGATCAAGCCCTTCCAATTGTAATTAGTGCAACACCTGATTAAGGCACTAATTACATGTATATATATATATTTATAATTAGTATTAGTCTGATTGTAATTAGTGCCTTGTCAGTATAAATGCCCTAAAATCCCCCGTGAAGAAGGTCCTGCATTGCTCAAACGCAGGGAGAGCACGTGCCATTGATCCCCTTCTCCTCCGCTTCGCTGGAGTTCACCTGCCACGCTTGACATCGTTCCCGGCTTTGGGAATGATGGTGCCTTGATACTTGACTTGCCTTAAGAAAGGGGGTCGGGTTTGGGTACAGCCCTCTAGGGTCTTGATCCTAGCTTTCCTGGAGAATACATGGAGACGCAGTTGCTTTCGACAACCCAAGGCTTTTGTGCTCCAAAACAGGTTGGGAGGAGGGGCATCCTGTAAGCTCTAGGACTTTATTGAAGCCTTCTCACGGCTGACTGCTCACTATATATTAGATACACACACACACATCCAGGCACCCCAGCTGTCCTTTACTTTTCTGCAGCTCTTTGGCGCCTTAGAGCTGTTCGTCTCCGTCTTGTTCTCCGAGCCCCAAGAGGAGCCGTTGCCTGAGAAGCGATAGGGTTGGGATGGATCAGATGTTTGCCAAGCTCAGGGTGAAAAAGATAACAAACAACACGTCGCTTGCTCTCTCTCTCTCTCTCTGGTATGTCTTTTCCTTCTCTTCTGTTATTTCTCATGTTGTGTTATTTTATCTCACTCTCTCTCTCTCTCTCTCTTTCTCGTCTCTCTCTCGTCCGTCTCTCTCTCTCTCTCTCTTTCTTTGTTTGTCTGTCTGTCCTGCATGCCTGTCTGTCTTGCTATTGCGACGGCAAACACTGCAATACCTAATATACAAATCCTCTCTATTTGCATGTGTGTGGGAAGGGTTGCTGAATTTTTTGAGAAGTAAGCAGGGTGTGGGTTCCTTCATGTTGCTGCTGCGCTATCACAAAAATGACCAATTACATTAATTTAACATTGCTAGACATGCTATTGCAAGCCATGGTCTCAAAGGTCTTCTAACCATTCAGAGAAACAACTTGCTGATGTCAGCTGGAAGACGTTGAATGCCCACAATCTGATGGACGGCTGACATTCCTACCTCTCCAGATTCCCCCGGGTCCTTCCTTTTCAATGGCCTCCAGTCTGCTTCGTCTCCCATTGGTCTCCCCGGTCGGGCCCGAGCCGCTGAGCTTCAGCGCGGCATCGCGCACCGCCTTGCTGAGCAAGGTGAGGTCCTCGCCGCAAGTCCCCCAAGGGGTGGGGCCAATTGCAAACGTGTGAGGACTCCTTCACCAAACTGCTGAGGCTCATGTTGGCATGCCAAAGGGCTGCAAGCTTGTTGATATTGAGGGGTGTGGTGATTCATGGTCGATGGTGAAGATGCTTACAGCAGGGCATCGGAGACAAGAGCGTGTTGATTCAGGTGCGAGGTTCAAATGGTTTCCGATTGAATGTACAAAAACACACAAAAAAGGATACATCCAACTATCATGGAAGTGGAACCACCCCTCTGTGTGATTCGAGGAGGTTGTCGCCTTTCCTGCTTCCATGTTGAAAGGGCATTCATTCCGTGCATCAGTATCTAGGATTTGTCTAAGGAACTGAACCGGGACCAAAAGTAACAACAACCATAATCCCAGGGATTCCAAGTCACTCCATCCACAAAACCCCAGATTCCTTCCAAATCAGCTTCTCCTGCAACCCTCCGCAGCAAAAACGCCCCAACGTTCAGCCCCAACACGTCCAGCCGTTCGGCCGGGCCCGGCCTCACGGACGAGGCGCACCGCTTGGCTGAGCTCCTCCATGAAGTCGACATTCAGCGTGACTCCTGCGAGGCGAGAGTCCGTGGCAGGCTCGTCGGACTGGAAGGTCCAACGGGGGATAACTCAATACCTGAGGAGATAGCTGGAGGGCGTACTCGTGCAATATAGGTTATATATATATATGATATCATAAATATACCCTTCCTTTTGGGCCATGGAAGTGAACCATCAACTGTATGTCATTCTCTTTCCAGGGGCCATGCCATCCACTTCCATGATTGGATGGAGTTTTTTCCGAGGCTCCAAAACAGTGCTTCCATGAAGATCAAATAAACCTTCAGCTGTCATCCATGGTCACTTTTGCAAAATGCATCGCCTGAAAGACTTGGGAAAACCACCACTCGATCTCGATCTAAAGGAGTTCCTGTTTCTTGTTCTCCATCCTTGTTTCACTATACTATAGCCTTGGCTACGTCTACCTCCTCCCTGTCGCACCATGGCTACGTCTACCTCCTCTCGTTCTCCGGTTCGCAGCTCGCTCGCCGGTTGACGCTCGCCGGGCGACGCTCGCCGGTTTGGTGAGCTCACTCGTCCCCACTCCTCGATCGGTGACCAACTGCCACGTCTCCCCCTTGGGTTCGAAGCACTTCCGGATCTCCGCGAGGGTGGTCACTGGACAGCCTGGGGGAGGTCGGTCGTCGGTCGTCGGTCTCACACGGCCGAAAGTAAGCAGACACCAGGCTCCACACGAGCGCCAGGTGAAATGGGCTCACATGTGGTGAAATGTGAAACTCAGCACATGCGCAGCTTAAAGATGCTCGAAGAAGTTGAGGTCTAAACCCGGTGAACATGAGCGGACGAACGCAAGCCGAGCGAGTGAAAACCTGGCAATGCCGCAAGGGTGATAACCTGTGAATCCCAGAGTTGGTTTAAGGGAAGATCTCCAGGAAACATCAGGAAACCATGCTGACCTCCAAAACTATGGGTTTCCTTGGTTTTCTGTAGATCTTCCCTGAAACGAATTCTGGGATTGAAACAAGTCTATAATGAGTCTACTCTAGTCTACTCGTGCCATGCGTGGTAGGCGCGTCTAAGAAGTACCCAGTCCTACCCTGTCCACCTCTCCCAAGCAAAAGACATTTAGCATGTTTTAGGTGTTATATTATGGCTATTTCAAGGCCCTACGATAGTAGGGGTCGGGGTGAGGGCACCCCCTCACCATGATTTCTTTATTCAGGCTAGGCTGGGCCCATGGGAAGCTAGAAGATCCATGACCGGGCCATGAAGAACCTCGAGTTTCACAAATCAGTCCGGTTACAGGTTGAACATCTGCTAGTATGCTAAACACGTGGAGTTAAAAGAAACACATGTTAAGCATACCAGTACGTAGTTGTTCAAACCATGGATCAATTTTGACACGTGTTGTACTTGCCTTCGTCCTGTCACCGATTCACCGATGGCCTTTAAGCCTTAACTTTAAGCCACCACCAACAGATCCAAACATGCATGCCAGGCAGCCATTCAGACTTTCCACCTGAATGGGGAGGGTTGTTCAGGAGGCATGGTAAAACATACCATGGAATAGCTGGGTTTTGCAAACGCCTCAATCCGGCTTCTCATTGTGCGACCCACTTCCAGGTCAAGTAGGGAAAATCCAATTGTATGTTTGGAGATGTTTGGTGTTACCAAAGGCGGAAATCCATCCAAAAAGGGTACGCCTAGTCACCAACATCCCAACAAAAAAGGTACGCCGCAGCTGTTCTCCTGAGTCATTCAAGGTAATTGGAGTTGCACCTGACCAAACACGCAAAACATCACAACTGAATGTCACCCAGTCATACCCAGCTCCCAACCAACCAGTGGGAGCTTTATGCCACGGGCATGGCATGAAAAAGGGAAGAGAAGGGCAAAGCACAGAACACTTCACTCAGGATTCTGCCATGTCTCGACACGAACTCCTGCACTCATCGTTCATCATCTGCCCCCCCGTGATCGACGCTGCGCAGTGAGGACGTGACTTCTTCCCAGGCACGATCATCCCAGTACTGACGATCTCTTCACAGCTGAAGCCCGATGCACAGGAGGTGATCGCCACACGTGGCTCCTTGGTATTCTCCTGGGATTCTCGGCACAGGTCGGGAAGGTCGGCCCGATGGTCCCTGCGTGGGTCCGGTCCGAGTGACAAAGGGGTGACCAAGGGAACATCTGCCAGAAACCTGTAGGTGACCTGTAGGTTTCCCCTACAAAGCAACTATAGGTTTCCGGTGTTCCCTCAAACCAACTTTGAGAAGCAAGTAGCCAGGACGCCAGTGGATGCTGGGAAAGATCGCTGGTACATGACACAGACCAAGAGAACAGTGTGGGCCGTCGCCAGCCATAGACGATCCTTTTGACGATCTTCTGCTCGGCCGTGCACCACGCAGTTCGCAAAGGAAACATGTGGACACCGGGCATGAACGGCAGATCCTGTATGATAGGATGCGTCCATCGCATGCGTCCAACAAAAGCTGAGTAATGTAGACTCTTGATTCATAACCCCCTCCAATTGAACACCTCTTCATATGGGGGGGTTATTAATCACGAGGCTACGTTCGCTACGTTACATTAGATGGTTTCATGATGTTTCATGAGGTGGTTTGAAATGTCTGGATGCTGTGAATGTGGTGCTGCTGATGGACCAAGTCGCCCACACCCTGGCCATCCAAGACACATGTTTTCTTAGAACAGTCAAGCCAGGTTTGGTGGTCATAAATCTCTGGTCCTGCAGGTTGGCAAAACATCAGGGTCTGCCAAATTCCCCACGTACTTGGCATCCTCCCACCCGCACCTGGATGCCATCTGCCCTGGATGCCATCTGGCTCGCTGCGAGTCCGGAATCTCCCGGTGTCGAAAACCGCTCCTCAAGGTAGAAGCGCCCCAGCGTCTCGCCGCCCATCATACCAATCCACCTTGGGTTCTGCAGGTGTTTCGATGCAAATGTGACATGTGTTCGGAGGATCACCATGAAAACAATGGTGCCCCAGCCTGGCCAGTATGATATATAATTAGTGGCAAAAGAACACCTTCAAGCCCATGCAGGATGAGCATTTTGGTGTTAAGAGTTCTCGAGTTGCTCAAGTTGGACATGATCTTGGTTCCCAATTGTTCAACGGCAACCGTTTAGTCCAAAAAGACAGAAGTCCAAACAGGTTACATCTTTCTTCCGAACAGTCTCCCGCGATACGTGGCCATGAGGGGTTTGATTCATCCCCAAAAAATCTCCCCTTCTCAGGAACGTGAATTCTCCAAGCCTACATCAAAGCGTCTCCTTTCGCACCAAACCTCAAAAGGTAGGATCCATGTCGCAACAGTTGACGTCGACATGATCACCGCCCCATCCGCCCCGGACACCGCCCGTTTCTTCCGCCCCATTCGTCTTGCTCCAAGTGTCGCATCGATGTGGTTGAGTGTCAGCTGGACCAGCGTCACGCCGGCGAACCATTCCTCACGGAGGAACCGCCGCGGACCACGGACGCCGGACGCGTATGAAGCCGGTAGGTCAGGGGTATGCCATAGTGCTGGGTATATCTATATATATATATAGGGTTTAGGGAAGAGTCGCTTCTGTTTTTGGCATCGTAGGCGATCCGTGGCAATCCAATTCTTTTTAAGCTGCAGGTGTTTTGGGCCCAAATGACTGGAGAGATCCGGCGTTGATCCAAATCCAGGTCTGGCGGAGAAAACCCCGTTCTTGAGCTCCAAAGCATCACCGCCCAGTCTGAGGGATTCGAAGAGCAAATGATCTGCGTGCTTCGGTCATTTCAAACATGCTGAGCATGACGCCATCTGTGAGCCTGCAACCTGAGTAAGACAAGTTGATCACTTGTGTATGATCATCCAGTCTGGGTGTCCAATAGACTACCCTATCCTACTTACAGGTCACCATTGGGCACCCGGCCAGGAAGTGCTAGGCGTGTATGATGTCAAAAGGAAAAGAAACGACGAGATTGCGTCTTCGAAACTCCTTCGTTCAGTTTTGAAGAGGGGAGCTCGGTATCAATGACGTAAACTGCAAAAGGGCAAGACTTTACTGGTTGGCACCTTCTAACCCAAACGCTCCATGTATGCCATGTTTACCTACATTGAGGTGGTTTCAAGGGTTCATATAAGTGAATGTAGCCATACATATATATATATATATGCCATACATGGAGTGTCTGGGTAAGACCCTTCTTTTGATCGATTTTGATCGAAGGGACTCGTGAAAGGGGTTTTCCACTGTTGGGGACTCATCAGTCTCACCGGCTTCGAACAGTCAGGCGACGCCCAGGTCCATGCGTCAGGCCGTTCACCGATGCCCATCTGAGAAAGTCCACCGGTGAGACGTGAGAGCGAAGAATAGATTGATTGAGACAGGGTCAGAATGATGTTGCAAATATGTTGCCTTTGGTGTTTCGCCCTGCTTTTTCCAACCTAACACTGTCCCGATCAGGACACTCACCAGCTCGTACCCAACCTTGTCCCATCTATGGTCCCCGCTTTCACGTCGGTGCCATCCCTCAACGGAGACAAGCATGGCAAAGCCGTCAAAACCCTGGTCACCACAATATGGACCGCCCCCCATCTTCACTCCGCCCCACAAGCCTTGCGAACATTAGCCAGGCACCAACATCTGGGTGGTCAGGAGCCGGTTTTGTCACATTTGAGCCTATGGCATCAAAACTTGGAGAGTTTGAAGCCCAATTCGGCTAAAAACTGCAAACCCGGTTTTTACAAGGCTCGTAGTCCTTGGCCGTTTGGTCAAAGTTGGGTTCATAGAGATAGCGGATGCCCCCCTCGAAGCGGCTAGTGTTCCATTTCCTCGCAGCACTGCGGAGGCTCTTCGTCGCACTGCGGCGGGGCAGGGGCTCCCATATATGTTCCCAATCGGAACGGAGGCCTACACTTTCGGAATGGTTGGGGGGGGCATGTTCATTGAAAAGGAATGCTGAACATTACGTGCTTCAAAACCAAAACGCTATAATTACGATATATATATATATATTTACTTAACCTATGAATAAACATATAACATATTACATATTACATAACTGATATGGTTTTGGAGCTGCACTAGTGAATGCCAAATACAAAATAGACACGAACCAGGGCTGTCTAGGTTGGGTCCATTGAATTCCTGGATGTCGCCGATCTAAGCGTTTTCAATCAACACGATTGATGGTTTCAGGAAGTTGCACGCAAGGCCGCCAAACAAAACATGCCAAACGTGTGCAGTCTTATAAGCTGCCAAGTAGCAGGCTCAATCTGTGCTGCTTCTTTTCTCCGTCCATGCCTCACTCCACCGACGTGTCCACAAATGCCTGTAAGTAAGCCCTTTTCGCCAACAGAGTGAGATGCATAATACTATCATAATAGGTATCATAATAATATTTTATTATTACATATAGTATAATGTGCATCACTGCGTAACGAATGAACCATGAACATCCCATCCCATCCCACAAAGATCCGGTGGTTGGCAACGCTCTCAGACGACCGACGTGCCAAGAAATCCTGCCCAGTGGCATGTGGTAACAGAGACCTCCCGATCCAGATGAGAGCGAAAGGTCAAGAGGTCTTTGAAACTCACATACTGCTGCATAAAGTCAAATCCTTGGCTTTGAAGACTTTGAAGATCTCTGCCTTCTTATGCCTCTTGTTTCGAATTCCATCCGAGTCCGCTCTGGGCTGGCTCCGCACCTACTTGACGCCATGAGAGTCTGAGTACAATCCTTAAGCCTCTTGAACGTCGCCAAACGGTAGAGCCAGTGGCCCAGTGGCCTTGAAAAAATGAATGAGCCCAATTGGCCACGTTCTCAAAAGGCCATTGACACCTGTGGACTATGACGTTACTATATAATTATTATACTGAGTCCGTCCACCAAGCGGCACCCCAAACCGAAAAGGAAAGGGCCAGTGACTTGAACCATGCCGCAACACCAGGTCGCGGCCGATCATTGACTCCCCCTGTAGCTTGTTTGGTGGGGTGGACGGCCTACAGCCCGCTGCGTTCCCAAACGGCCGCGGATCAGCCCGCGATCCCATCGGATCGGTTGCGAGAGACGCTTGCCCATTCCGAAGGTGTCCAGCTCAGTCTCATCCTCAGGTGGACGTAGTCGTCATCTCACATGTGGTTGAAGCATTGGCGCCAAGTTGTTTGGCGGCAAGGCTAGGGCAAGTGGGTGGTGATAAAGAGTGTGATAGATCGAGACCACTTTAGAGCGTTGTGTTATCATTTACATCAAGAGACGAAGAGACCTCATGGCTTCCGACCTTCGCTTCGGTTAGACCGAAGCGGTCTCCCGCCAGCCGACAAACATGAGTTCGGTCTCGCATGACACAGCCACAGACAGCCACAGACAGACGAGTTCCGGCACATTCGACCTCCCAAGATGAAAAGGGCCGGTGGGCGAGATCTCGCCGGGCTCCGAAGCGGGAAGGAGATGATCCATCACGAAGTGGAGTTCCCACCCGGTCTGTAGAGGAAAAATGGTCTTCTTATTGGTCACTTTCCATCACTTTCCACTTCCATGTGAGTGAGTCTAAGAGTCAAATATGTTCGGACCACTGTCCGGGCGCAATCATTTCCAAACTATGGCCCTTGTACAGGCCCTTTATGTGCCAGTTCGACTTGCTGGACTTCTGCGATGATCAACCATCATCAAACATCCAAATCCAGCCTCACATGGTCATATCTCAGGCGTCCCTGGACGCGACTTCCAATCCCTGGACTGAAACATACATAAAATTGACTTGTTGGACCACTGCTGGCTAGGAACTGCCTGCAAGTCCCACTTGGGATAGCAGGATAGCATGTAAAACACCATGTAGCACCATGTAGAACAAACGCAATGACATAATTACCCCCTTTTGAACCATTTGCACGGATAACAACCAGACATGCACTCGCATTCAGTGCGGCATGCCGCACATATACACCTTGTCCACATTCTTAGTCAAACTGGTCACGCCATATCTAGAGACCATGGTCTCTCCGAAACAGAACTTGGGTGTGTATTTTTATAGGGGGGGCCAACCAATTGGTTTTGGTTTATTGACAATTGCCCTTCCAGGGGCGCTTTGGGAGCTCTCCCTATTTTAGTACACATGCACTTCTCCTTTTGACCCTTGAGCTGAGGTTCCACCGTCAAAAGGAAGCTGCCCGGTGGAATGGGAGGCTCTGCCCAGCGGAAGAGGGAGAAAGGGAGGAAGCGATCCTCGGAGAATGCGTGGGCTGTGGTTCGATGGTTGACCAAACCACAGACTTTACGGCCCCTTTGAAAGGAAAATTATGTCGAGAAGGTTTGATGGGACTCATAGGTCTGTCAAATTCAGGCTCACTATCGAGTAGTTCCAGTACTTTCATCTGGTTGAATCATAAAACATCATGGATGATACTGTAATGATACGGGAGTAGTGTCTGATGTTCCCAGGCATCTTCTGATGCCTTCGCATACACTTGCCAAGGAGTAAAAGGCTTTGCATTTGTCAGTGCAAAACATCACCTAAAGAGGCCTGATCGAGATTCTCAGGGATTTTCCTGGAGGTGGGTGTGTATTGAATTGTATGTATAAATAGGGAGACCTCCCAGTTCAAAGGCCTGGAAGGTTTGGGAAACACGCCAGACCAGTCTGCTCATGGTCGAGGGGATCTCCCTATTTAAAATACACATCCATGTATTGAAGAACAGTTTGAAGAACCTCTTGGAAAGCAGAAGTGGTCAGCATCCAGCCGTATGGATGCGTTGCCGCGGTTGTTTCTTCTCTTTGCTTCCTCTTCGTCCTCTACGTGTTCTTCCTCACTTCGCAGCTTGATAGATGGAAAGTGGACAGTGCGCCTTTGGAAGACGACCCTTCTCCAACAACTGGGTTTTCCATCGATGTTCCAGTTAGTTCATCTTCATCGCACACCATTTACCGAGACTCCAAGGGGACGCCACTTCTGCATCCCGTCCTCCGCAAATGGGCCTGAGGGTGCAGCCGATGATGTTTGTGTATTTTTTGCTGTCAACATCGAGATTGTATCATCCAAAGAAGGCAGAGCGAACCCACCAACACTTCGCAATGAACTATAGTGATGGTATGATTGTTTTTTTTCAGGATGGCATGAGGGGATCTACCAACCCACTCCAGCCCGAACAAAACCATACAATTATGTTGGGCAATGGCAGCCATACATGACTAACCATCAAATATGTTTTTTTTAAGCAACACAAAAGCAAATGAACATGCAAAAACAGTGCATTTTTTTTTGGTTTTAGCAGTTGTTTTGCGTTTATGTGTTTTTTAAATGTTTTCTGGTACCACTTCTGCACTTGTGAGAACTTTTACCCGTTAGCAATATGTGCTGTACGCTCCTAGGAAAAAAAAGCGAAACAAATGCGAACAAATACGAACATAAAGTGACGATAGAACCGTGAAAACAGTGCAAAAGCTCTGTGTGGGTTGACGTTCAAATCCAATTCTGGAATCAAATGAAAGCAAAACAAAGCACAGCTTATCAAAACGACATGAAGGCATGAAGCAACATGGAACATGGAAGGGGATTTCAACAACCGTGAATCTAGTGGGTTCGATGTGAGTCTTCTGCGGCTTTCCAGGATTCGCCTTCGATGTTGACCCTCTCCCTCTCTTCCTTCCAGATTTGCCTGCGTGGCTTGGGTGTAGACCACACCCACCGGTGCAATGCGAAACTCCATGTGCTGCCTGCGAGGGCGAGCCCAACGAGCGAGGTTGGAGGTATGGTCTTCTTGTCACCCGCGAGATCGGCTCCAAACCACCAACTAAGACATGACAAATGGTGACCCAGCGTGGCCAACCGCTGATTTACACACCCCAAGTGGATGAATGCCAACATATTCAGCAACTCACCCTGGGGCTCCAACCATACTCAGGGTGGTATTCGACCCGGCACCCACCCCAGTCCTTCTCCGAAACGGAGGTGGGCCAGGAGCCCGAAAACGACAGCACTGGTGGACGACTCGCAGCTGCGGCGATCGGTGCCTGGTGCCACGTCCAAACTCGTCCAGGGCCTCCAGTGAGATTGTCTGGTTGCGACCTGGGCGTGATGGTCATGGATCTTCGCAAACCTTCCATGTCATGGGACTGGGTCAAAGGTATAGTACCTGTATACAGTACACACACATATAACACACATATATTATATAAATATTGTATATATATATATATATGTTGTTATCTATTTATATTACAGCAGTATACACCTGGAGCATCCTCTCCGGGTGCCCAATGGAAGCGCTCAAGTGGTGTGTAGGGTAGTCTATTGGAAACCCATTAAATGGTCCTGATATATATATATATATAGACTGTAAAAATAATATATGTTGGGTCTATCCGAATACCTGTAATAGTGGATGATGATGGCCTTGTTCAAAAATATAATTGTTTACTGACTGTTAGGGGTAATAGGACAGACTATATATATATCTGCACTGTGTAGTAGATAAAGATAATTATGTATAGAATAAGCCAGTCCCATCCCATCGCTCATGTCTGTGTAGGGCCAAGGCAAACTCCTCAGGGCCAAGGAGCTGCATCAACTCCGCTCCTTTCCTTTCCCGCCCAAATGCTTGATCAAATGCTCGATGACTGGTTGGCCTTCCGTCCTGGGGGTTGAGCTTGGATCTCTTTTCCAGCTGCCCTGAGTTCTCCTCAAAGGACTCGTACCAGTTCATGGATCCGCCAACTCCCAACCCCAACCCTTGTAATCCCCAACCGGTACAACCATCCCTCCCGGCCGAGTCACTCATTTTGGCATAGGCCTCAGAAAATCCAGTGCAAACCGCTGAATCCTCCATTCTAGTGGACGTTAGCTGTGGGGATTTGGCACATGTGGGGGCAAACAATATGCTCCTATCTCAGGTGGATCTTAGCCACTGCGAGGCGTTGCTCTGAATGGCCCATCTACAGTGGCCCCCCTAACTGAAAGCCGTTGGTTGTGGGCATGTCCTGTGACTAACTGAAAACATGCCTTTCAGCCTGCATCTCGTCCAAACAAGGCCTCAAAGAGTCCAATCAAGTATGAAAAGCATCGCTGTGACCCCAAGGTGAGCCTGACAAGTCGCAATCCACTACTCTCAGTCACCCCCTCCTCCACACAGTGCCATAGGGCAAAGTGTTTGATTGCATGAGAATATCCGGTGAAACAATCATGGAAGTGGGCTAGGATTTCAGGACCCCTTTGTAAAGGAACATGGTCTTGGAACGGGGCCTATGTTCCACACAACCCACTGGCTTGTCATGGAGAAACTCGGGCTGCGCGGTGAAACCGCGAAAAACGGACACCCAAAGGGCGGTGAAACTGCAAAATTAAGGAAAGTGCCAAAGGTGGCTGCAAAATATCTTCTCCTCGCCGCTTAAGACTTAGGTTGATCCCATCGGGTTGCTATACTGGCCCGCATTTAACAAAGTCAAAAAATCACTTTGCAATTTCAGTGCCCCTGCTCGCTTCCAGGTTCACCAACTTAATACAATTCACTTAAGATCTGCAAGTCATTTCAACCTTTAGAAATGACATGTTGACTCATCTTCGGTCCCACTACGAGCCACCCAGTCAGCTCATTGAACGTGATCACTTACAGGGTGACTTGAGACAGTTTTACCATTTTTCCAATTTTGACTGCATTTAAGGGAATCACCTCAGTAAGGATAGGGCAGAACAGGCCCTCCCCTTTCTGAGGTCGGTAGCGCTACCGACCTTTACAAATGCACGAGATATTAATTAGGGTTTGCTTAAAACATTGGGATTTTGACGCCCCATTGACGAGCACCCTTAGGCTTACTGAGGTCGGTAGTGCTACCGCCCTCAGTAAGGATGGGGGCAAATAGTGATTCCTTTAATTGCACATCCGCCATTTAATGGAGTCCATCATTTTTAACCAAAAATGGTTTGCAATGACGTGGGGGAAGGTTCTGAACTGGAACTTCTAGGTTTGCAATGACGTGGGAAGGTTCTCAACTGGAACTTCTAAGTTTATCTCCCAGGGAAACTTTAATTAACAGTGACCACATTGCACTCCAAGTGCTGGGAAGTCAACTTCTGTGAAGGAGTCAAATATTACAGTAAGTCAAACAATGTCCCTTAAAGATGGGCCCTGAAAGCTACAGGTTGGTAGAGATCAACCAAATTCATCTTCTCAGCCGAGCTTCCGCCAAGACTTGCACAATGCGAAAGGCAGGGACCTCAAGGCTTGCGGCATTGCGAGCTCAAACAACCTTCTGAATCTGGCTAGGGGAAGAGGACCTATCAAACTTGGTAATTAAAGGACTCCTTCCCTGACCATGCGTAGAAAACACTATCAACGGCAATGGTTTTGTTACGTTCTGTTTGATTGTTTTGGGTTCTTGCCAGGACCCGTTCCCTTTGATAAATTCCTGTGGGCAATTTGATCAGTCCACACAGTCTTTGAATGTCTTTCACATTGCATACATTGTGAGGGACTCTACCACTATCTATCTTTCTCCGCCAATGGGCCAATGGGTAACATTAAAGCAATCCCAAAAAGCAAGATCTGGATTGCGCAGCAACTTGGAACATGAAAAGTACTCTTCAACTTTAGCGATGAACATCCAACCCCTCAAAGGCACATGAAACAACATGAACAAATCTCTGTTCCATTCTGATTCCATTCAAAAGGCACACGAAACCAGCCCAACTCCATCCCCCAATTAGAGCCGGAATGGACTGGCTGGCAGTTGCGCCACACAGCAGATTGCGTGGCCATCACATGAAGTGCATGAAGCATCGAAGCATCGATCGGACTGGATTGATGGTTGCCAATGTCATCGACGATGCTGCTGATGGACTGGACGCTGTCGGAATCCTTCGTCTGTCTCGGCCGTGATGAAGGATCTCTCGTCTGTCTCGGCGCGCGGCCAGCGTCGCCTGGGCGCTTCAGCGACCCCTTCCCCGAGGCACGGTGAAGGAAGAATGCTTGAGCTTCCCCCAACCGATGGACCAACGAGGCCAGGGGGCCGTGGAAAGCTAGCTGCGCCAGAGCGGCTCGAACTGAAGGAACAAAGGTGAGGTGGCGTTCTGTAAGTCAGTCCATCGCCGGCAAAGCGCAGGACCGTTCGCTTGCGAACACGTTGCACACGCTGTTGTTTTCAGACCTTCCAACATGTTTGCGACCTTTACAGGCTTTTGGATGGTGCTTGTTCATTCCTCCTCTTCTTTTTGCTCTTCAATCTTCTGTTGCTCTTGCCTTTTCGGGCTTTTCAGCTTCTTCTCGCCAACTGCTCCCTCTTTGTCTCTCCCACCCTCTCTTTTGTCCACATTGCTTTCTTCCTCTCACGGGAAGGTGCAGCAAAGCCGTATTTGAGCAGCTGCCATGTAATACGCATACTCTGCAGCCGCTGAGGCAGTTGCCCCACCTGATCCCGCAAGCTTCGTGTGTGTGCCAGGTCAAGTCAAGAGCTGCGAACCGCACCACTTCCAAGTGGCCCTTATGAGCTGCGAACATCAGGATGACCAACCGCACAGCACGCCGGTTTACCGGCACTGCATCCCTATGCCGAAGCGGCATCCCCATGTCTTCACGACCGGTAGCGGTCTTCCTCGAAATCATGAGACTCCAACCTGACTGACCGGGAGCTTCTTCTAATCCTCAATGCCAATTTCTCTGCATCAAGCTGGATGAGAGTGGAACTGGAGAATGTGACAATCTCGATTGATTGCTCAAGTCGTAGAGGAAATGGCTTGCCGGCCAAGATGCATGTCGTCAGCCAAAAGGCTTAAGTCTCTCTCTCTCTCTCACTCTCTCTGTTGGATGGTTGCTTCATTGGATTGCAAAACACTGAGTGGTGCTTAATCACCTTGTGTTCAATGCACTTTGCAAAATTGTAGACATATGTATACAGTAATCATTTTGTGCAGTCTACGTTTGCCTTTTGCTTTAGTAGGCAAAATTGTACCACCAACACATGGAGACTTGAAAAGCGATACGGATCATTTTGCATGTGTCAGGTTGCATACAATCACAACAAAACAAGCTTTGTGAGGGGTGGAGCTTCTGGGCAAGCCCACTCATTGATGAGGAAACCAAACATCACACAACTTGCCACATATCTTCTGGCTCCCTGAGGCAAACCCTCAGCTCCATCTCGGCTTTGCTCTCAGCCCAAAACTTGTGAGAAAAGAAAAGACCATATCCTGTCGCCCCTCCTCTGCTCGTCATGCGAGCAGTAGGACTTCTTGAGACAAGAGCTGTAGGAGAGTTTAGATAGTTTTTGGCATGAAGTCTCACGATATTGTAAAGCTCTAAGACACACACACCCATCACACACACCCATCACATCCAATCGGCCACAGCAATTTCCGCATGCCACATCCGATGTACTCGACTCACCCTCTCCAGGACAAAAAACGCATACCTGTATCTCTCAACGCAGTGTTCCTTTTCATGCATTCAAAAGACAAATAAAGAACAGGTTAACATGTTGTCATATGTTGCCTAGTTGTTTCGATCCAGGTCTTTCTCCCCATGCTCCCAAGCGGCTGCGTAGTTCAAGTTCTGCGCCGATTTCGACGCTGAGGAGGCAAAGTTCACGCCCACCACCGTGTCCAGCATGGGCTTCATCGGTTTCGATGTCTGCGTGTGGCCGAAGAAGGAGGAGCGCATGGCTGGGATGGGTAGGTTTGGAATGGTTTGGACAATTGTGCCCTGAGCCTGAAAGCGATAAAACTAAGTAGTTGAAATATGTCGAAAATAACTAATTGAATCTATGTTTATTTCAATTGGAGTTGAAGTTGAGTCAAGTAGGTGCCTGAAGATTGATCCAAACTTCCATGATATCTGCCTTACGGGGATCGCCTTACAGAAGAGAAGAGCTAAAGGGGACTGTCAAGTGACTCCAAGCTTCCACCCTGCAGTTCCCACCATCGGAGGGCATTCAATACTCATCCCCTGAGGAAGTCATACACAAGCGTCTAAGATAGTTTAAGGATGTTTAAGGCCATCAGTCTTTTTGCATTCCCACCGTAGCAGGGCATACGTCCAGTTCCTCATTTTTGCGCTACTCCCCTTGCAAAGGACCATGTGCCCTGAGGAGATCCCAAACTGATGTCCCTCCACAATCCTTCTTGGCAAGATAGGCGTTGACATGCCTATTGCAATGGCTCTGAAAGCACACAGCGAGTGGCACTTGGAATCAACAAAGACATCCCGATGGAAAGTTGAAAGTTAGTCTGACTTCACAGAATCATCTAGAATCCTCGAATTCCAGCAATTTCCGATGACCAGAAACTTCTCACCTCCCACCCACAAGGCGTTCCCAAATAACATGGGATGGACCCCCAAAAGCAGAATCAGCCGCTTGCTGCAAAGGTCTTCTGCAAAGGGGGCTGATATTCATCAATTTTCACGGCCTTCAGAAGGTGCACAATATGTCGTGCCTCATCGTCTGCTGAACGGAGGAGGCTGCGGAACACCAGCAAGGGGCCTCGGCTGAAATCTTGAGAAGTCTTTGGGCCATGGGCATCTTTCTGGAACATTCTAGAACCAGGAACCATCTTTGGGCCAGGATGTTGATGAAATCACCCATGGGAGAACCACCAAGAGAGGTTGAGTGACCGTAAATAGGACCTTACTGGGGTACCGAACTGGGATTGTCACGTCATGGCTAGTCAAGTCTATAGGGTCCTTCAAGCTTTGCCGGGATCGGATCACCATGGAGTGGACGAATGGGGCCGATCCAATCGGGGCGGGCCTCCACTGTTGCCCGGACTGATCGGCGCAGTGCTCTGATAGACCATATTGTCTTCGACCACCTGAGCGACGAAAACGGGTCAACCAGTGGAGTGGAGATATGATGACCACCAAACATAGATGTTAGCTCCAGTTTCTGCACCAGTTTCCTGGAAATCAGCAAGTTATATAAGTTGACCGTGTTCTCCCTGGTCTTGTTGAGTGGGGAAACCCATTTTTGGTTAAAGGTTATGCACTGACTAGGTAGGGCTCTTTTCCGGTATTGGGTATGTTCTTAGGTCATATGGCTGTGAGTGCTTGCTTTCAGGTCGTCCTTCAGGAGACACTGGGATCCGACGTTGCCTGTTGCCTCTCATGGGCTTCCAGCCAACTTCAGCACCGAAGGTTTCAGATGTTTAGAACCCCATGCGGCGCCTGCTGGTTGCAGCACTCTTACTCTGCGGGCGGGCTGCTGGTGTAGGGATTGCACGCAGCTGGCTACTGAAAAATCCTCAACACTCCTCCTGCTCCAACCTCCTGCTCCAACGGGTCAAGAAAGAAACAGGACAATCACTCTGACCGCTGACCTTTCAACATTGGGCACATCAACTATCAAACTACAGTCCCTGAAGCAATCATGGGAAGTGGAGTAAGTGCCCCCCCCTGAAAGATGTTTATCCGAATCCGACTCTATAAAGTAAATGAGTCCTGGTTCTAAGGAGGGAGGCCATCGCTAGTAGGTTGGAGTATCGTTTTCATCGTTCCCTGGACTCACCCGGCAGTCCATCGACTTCGATGACTCACCCAGCCTCTGCTCCAGAAACCACTCCCTCGCTGAGCTTCAGCCACTGGCTCCCTGACATCGCTGCAGACGTCGTCGCGGACGTCCCGTGGGTATCGCGGACGTATCATCAACCCTAGGTCCACATCGACTTGTTCGAGATTTGTGAAGTACCAAAGTGTATGGAATACCAAGACCTTTGTGGTGTTATAGGACCATCTTTTCCCATGTAGGTATCTAGTACAAATGGTTGTTGTGGTGTTATTGTTTTCATATTACATATATACCTACGTTGGCCAATCACACCACCTCAAGCATCGCCCAAGCTCGGTCGTCCGAGCTTGTGTGTGTTGTATCCCACCATGGAGTGTATCCCTTGGCTTCGGCTCATGGGAACTGCACAGGTCGCTTCTGCCCCGCTGGACCCTTCACATCCCTCAGAATGCCCATGCCTAAGGGAAAGCCCAAGGCTGCCACACGCATGCCCATCTTCACATTTCGTGCTTGTAGCTTCAACCTGGTTCTGTGCATGAAATCATCGGACCATCGGTTCTAACGGATGATGGACCAGTTTGGATGATATGCCAGCAGCTGCGGACGAGACGAGACACGAAGCATCCCTGGATATTGACTCAAACGACGCAAATAAACACTGGGATGACGATGTATGTGGCAGTGAATGTGGGCGCTGCTCCTACTGGGATTGATGAAACGTATTCGTAGATACAGATTCATAATTATGTCTATTGGAGGTCGACCTCAATACTTCAAGTCTATTTAATTCAGGATTATTGATTGAATATTTTACACACACATAGTGTATATATGAAATTGCGTTGAATCAAAGCTATGTCGCAAGCATGTGTCCCAATATCACTCCTCTTAAGTATATGCAACAAATCTCTCGTGCAGATTCCCAAAGCAAAACAAAGGCCGAATCTGCTGATGCATTCTCTGCGCCGAAAGGCAGTAACAGAGTCACATCTGCTTTCTTCAACTTTTCTTTCAGCTCCAGTGGATCCTTCAACTTCACAATCCTCAGACCCCGCAGCCCGAGGATTCGATATAGGCCGATGTAGTCTCTGGCCCCGCAGGCCGAAGTGGAGGAGTGGTGAACCGCAGGTACCCCACAAGAAGGGAATCAAGCGGAAAAAGAGAAAACACACAATACTAATATAGACAATACTCATCATACTTGTATATACAATCTTTAAAACATCTGGTATCTACAATGCGTGCCGCCCATGTAATGATTGAACACTCCCCGACCCTGCAACAACGGACGATGGCGGTTCATCACAGCTTTGCAGCTTTTACTTATATACATGGCACACCAAAGTGATAGAAGTGAAACTAACTAGTAGTAGATATACCGTGCTGTGACTGTGGTATGGCGGTGGCGTCTGCCAACATAGCATGGAGCTGTGTCAGTTGCAACAATGCAACATTGACGCCTGCATCCTTCGGTGGACAAGCCGGAGTGAAACTAGATGAAACTAGTCAAACCTAGTGGATGTCACAGTGAGGACTTTGTGAGGATCACACAAAGTCAAAGTCCCACATAACAGCAACCTCCATTTTGCAACCTTACACGTACGTGCAACATCATGCAAAGTAACATGCAATGACAGAACAAACACAAACTGCATTCGCGCTGTCGTGGTGTGTCAGGGCCAAGCTTCGCCAAGTCAAACTGGAAGCAAATCATGGGCACGGTGGCGTCCTTGCAGGCTCTTCGCTTCCAACACATTCTCTTATAGCGTCTATAGTTGATCCAAACAAATGCGGATGGCGGAAGAAAGCACAACAGACAAATGGCTTTAACAGATTGCACGTTGACCAAGGTTTTGGAAGGTCTCCAGGCTCTCCAAGGTTTCCAGGCTTAACAGGTCTCCAGGCTCTCTGAGGCTGGGACAAAAAGGTGCCGGCCCAGAGAAGGAAACTGCACGCGCACCTCCGGGGATGATGGTGGGGCAGCGACGTTGTAGCGCAGCAATGCCGAAAAAACAATAAACAAACAATCCATACAGTATACAGTATAATGGTCTAATACTGTAGGTGTGCATGGCAAAGTTCTGGAGAAGTATACAGTGAAACAGTTGGTGCTTTAGGTCCTTGACAAGTTGGAACATGTGGTGGAACCTTTGTTGAAAACGCTCTTCCAGGGCTGCCCTCCGGGAGGGCCCTCAAGAAGACCACCCCAGGAGTCTCTGGAAAAAAAGAAAAAACTTGCCAGTGGCCGTGCTGATGTTTGATCATCTTTGATCGTCTTATCTTTTCTACCAAAACAAAACGTCTTGCAAATCAGGTGGTTCATGAGCGGTTCATTGGTGGTGGCTCTATATAGTTCGAAATATTCATATATAATCATAATATATATATATATTCTATATCTAGACTCCAGTGGCTCTATCTCGCGAAATCCTGCATGGCATCCATGGCATCTACATGCGAAGACCGATGTGCCTTGTCCGAGCCACGCACTACATGAGCATTGGTAACAATCCTTGGATAGACTGCGAAACTCTACCGCTCGGGATCCAATTTCACCCAGAACTCGCCAGGGGTGTGAGGTTTTCATTAGAGATGGACTTCGTGAGGTGAATGATTCATCCGAAGGGGCGTCAGACATGTGGGTGACACTCTCTGAGGTTTCAGCATGGTGGGAAGTGGATGGCATGGTCCTTAATTACAAAACCCTGAGATGCCAAGACCAAACAGGAGGGTGAACTCTTAACTCCACAACATGGCCCCATGGGGCACTTAGAGGGGAGGCCTCTAGTCCTAGGAATCCAGTCATACTAACCTTCTCAATCTTCTCCGAAAGTGATTGGAGGGTCCAGCAGGGTCCCTTGTGAGCTTCGGTACGAAAACGGATCCGGGACTTCGGTCGCCCACGTCTCCTACGGCCAAGCGGCGTGTAATCGTCTCCTGCCGCGACGTCCGGGATCGGATTCGTCCGTCCCGTTGCCACATGGATGAAGGCTGTTCATGGCTGAAACAAGCACTAGCAATGAATAACTCCAAGGATGCATATATGAATGATTCCGAAACCACTCCGAAATCAAAAAACCGGGGCGGTCCAGTTTGCATGGTCGAATTGTCATCCACCTCAGCTGGACGACACGCTTTTGAGAGCACAAGTAGCGGTTGGTGAAAAGGACAGGCACCTATCCCCAACAATCCATGGGATATCATGGGATTGGAATATTTGCCTACATTGACCCTTAAAACATCTTTAAACCACTCCCAATGTATACATGGATTGTCATGGACATACTACTTGAAGGACAGTCGCCGTAGCTGTTTCTTGGCAGTTCAGTTCAGAAAGCCCAAAAGCATCTACAGCAACAATAAGCCCCAAATGGCAAGCGTCCACAGGAGGCTGGCAGGGTTGCATTCGAGCTACTATCTGATTCAATATGAGACTCAAAAGCCATCGAAGCCAAAGCAGGATCCTGCCAGTACCATGAATCCAAAGGTATCAAAGGACCCATCAGTAGCGTAGACGTAGACCTGTTGAAGGATCCTGGTATGCATACTGCAGCCATTCTTCTGACTGCTATGCAGTCACCAGATTCGGCCCTCGCTTGCAAGTCTACGCGATTCGACTGAATCTTGTGGTCCTGCAGGTTTGGGGACCCACTGAACTGAACGCCACGCGACCACGCGAACGCCACGCGGCCACGCCACGCGGCCACGCGAAACGCGTGGAGCACGTAGGTTTCGCCCGAGAGGCCAAAAAGCCACTGCCGACCGATTCTTGGATACCAGCGTCCTCGATCTCAGATCAGATCTCAGTTCAGTTCACTGAAGGACTTCATCGTCAAGGAAGGAAGGATGCAGGATCATACCGAGTCCCTGTTGCGCCCCGTTTTCAGGCGATCAGGCGCCAACCAACCTGTGGCCTGGGTAGGAAAGGCCAGCAAGTGAGTCACATCCAACACATTCAAAGAAGCGCACTCAAAGAACACAAAATCACTGACTGAGCGGGGCCAGTCAGTGCCCATTGCACTGAATGGGCACTCGCTTCTTTCCCAACAGGGGGTCTAATGGCTTTAGCTGATCGGGGGTTCACTTCAAAACCGTCTTTCAACTACTTGTGCATGTACTGACGTTGACTGATGAAACCTACCTACCTCTTGGGCCGATGTAGTGCCTCTTGAAATATGTGAGGGGGTTGAAATACAATCCGCACTCCAGACCATCGAGACGTCTGGATTTGCCGATCTCGATGTCGACATCGTGTCCTCGTAGGGCTTGTCCATATCCAAACCTCTGTCCACCGTGCTGATACGTACCTGGTGCATCCGGGGTTTGGAGGATTTCACGCAAAAGGATTGACAGCAGGTGAACCAAAGCGACCGAGATTCCGGATATTCATTCTAGAAGGCTCTGCGGGCTCTACATCATCATAATTTTAAGAATTAAAACAAATGCATCAGCATGGAAGAGCATACACCTTCATGTCGCAAAGGTGCCTGCAGGGACTCCCTTTCCGTCTGAGGGACACCAGCGGTGAGGGAGAGTTCTCAGTGGACCTGAAGGTGCCTAATGGGTTTTCCATGGGGCTCCGAACCAAATCTCTCCCACCGGAAAAACGTCGTGCAGTCCGGTTAGTTCTCAATCGGTTAAAACAAGAGCGATTTTTTGAAGATACCTGAGCAGGTGCTCAATGCATTTAAAGAACTGGAGCGGCATATCATATGCAATGCTGCAATGCCAGCGAAGCATTTGCAGTATCAACTGCTCCTTTTAGAGGGACTAAGCAGCTGCGGCTACTGTAAACCACCCAACTCGCTTGACACTTGACACGACGCCAGTTGGTCCATCCCCGTGGTCGGCCACCCCTTTGGCCCCCGGGCGATCGAGTACTTCAATGCACCTCGGCCACACCGGTCATGCTAAGTCATGCCAGTTCACGTGTCATCCACACACCTCCCTAGGATTCAAACAACCATTGTTTTCATGGTCTTTACCAAAGAACCATTGTTTTACTAAGGATTTTTACACTACACCACCTGCTCAACCGTTCTTTTAATGGTCTTTGAAGGCTAGGGACCTCATACATCACATGGCACGAGATTCTGGTTCCCCAAACACGACCAGTCTGGGACTGCCATCGACCGACAGTCCCATTGACCGAACCGGTCAACCACCCCCTGGCCGAGAAACGGGCAGTCCCAGATGGGCAGTCCCAGACTGGTCGTGTCTAGGTTCCCAACCCACACCCACCGTCTCTGCCGACCACGAGCGACCTGCCGTCCCTCCCAGCGGCTGTAGATGGCCGGATTCCACGCAGCACCGAAGGATTGCGTCTCGGGTTCTGGGCGGCCAGTGGAACGATGCTGGAACGGAAGGAGGAAACCAGGGGGACCTAGCGGACCTAGCTACATGCTGTTGGGGCTCCATGGTTTGAAACCCATCCCATTTTCTGGCAGCTGACACCTCCAGGAGTCCTGCAAACACAGAACAGCTGTCGAACTTCATGGCTTACCAACATGGTTTCTCCCTTGAGGACGCAACCGTCGCACCAGAATTGGCTAAGCAAAGCGGTTGTTGTTCCAGTGTGTTGTATGAAACACCTTTGGTCCTCTGTTAGGGCCTGAAGCACCAAGCAGGTGCTCGAAACTATAGTTGTGCTGCCCCAAGGGCTGGTTGCAAACGCCTTCGCATGACGATCCCCCATGCCCAACTTGAAAAACACTGGCAATCGAACACATCTGGTACATTGTACTGTTGTGCGGTCGAATTGGGTGCTGTTGCCACCAACTGGACCACCCGGGGTGAACATGGTCAAACCCCACGATGTTCGTGTGTTCACCGGAAAGGCTCCCGCCGATCCGATGCTTTTGCCGCAGCTCCAAAGAAAAGCCGTGCTGTTGTTGTGTGGGGGGGATCCCCAATATCCCCAATTAATCATAGGTGGTCATTACTTCTGTAGCGGAAGGCGGGTATCAAAGCGCTGTTGTGGCACGTGCACCATTTTCATCGTCGTCGTTGTCACCAGCACCTGACAGTCGGACTTGGTGTCTGCAGCGAATTGGGGCCCCTACAGGGCCCTGGCTCCAGGTGGTTCCGCTCTGATTTCACCCAAGGAAAGGGAGTCTGCTTATGTCTGCTTCCACACGATGGGCCCGAAAAAACGTCCATGGCTTGATACATGTCAACACAATGTGAACATGTAACATGATTGAAGGATCTTACAAGTTCTTGTGGAGACCTCTACACCTCTGGATTTCTTAGGCCTCTAGAACTCTAGATCTGTGACCTCTAGATCTCAAGGCTTCTGGACCTCCAGACCTCTCTAGAGCCCAATATGTCTAGATCTCTAGACCTTCTGCTTCTACACCTCTAGACCTTAGACCTCTAGACCTCAAAACACTGCTTGCTGTCTCAGCTGCCCGGATCACGAACGCTCCGAACGGAGCCGAACGCTTCAGGCTGGTCCTCCAGTCCGGTCATGGGTCCGGGCCTGCCAGCTTCTGCGCACCTCGCGGGCGTGCTTAGCACGCTTACGGCGTGGTGATGCGTGGTCGGTGTGATCCCGGCATCGTGTACGACCGACTCTTTGGAGGGCATGCATTGCCATGATTGCCCCTGCTCTAAACATAACGCTGACCAGACAACGGCTTAGACCAGAATCACCGGCACACCTACTGGTTGCAAATGGAAGCCACGGTACGACGAAACACATAAAGCTAGTTACAGTTGATCAATGGTGATCACCATTTTAGGATACATGATATACAGTATATATATATTATATATAGTATATATAGTTTCTGCTTTAAGCTCTTCTTCCCTCATACCCTTGGATTTCCTACACATTTCCCCGTGATCCGCCGCTGGCCACGACGTCTGGCCTCGATGGGAGGTCGACGTCTTCGACTGGAGTCCGCTTCGTGCCGGGCGCGTCCTCGGATGCCTTGGACAGTAGGTGAGGCTTGGGAAAGGGGTGGGGGTGGATAAGTGGAAAAGAGTGGAAGTCACTGTAGATCTTGAAGGATCTTGAAGGTATCCTTGTGATTGTAATGTTTTCAGGAAGGGTTCCCAAACACTCCATGCAATTATGCCAGATTTTCCTACATTGAGGTGGTTTCAAGGGTGAATGTAGCCATATATGCCAGTCGCATGGAGGGTCTGGGGTTTGCAAGGATTAGGCAAGGTCCGTGTGAGCTCTGCTCACTTGATGCAGGCGACCCTCACGAGGGCCGTGAGGCTGAGAAAGTCAGGCTGTTGGCCAAATTAGAGGGTTGATTAACAACACACAAAACATAATATGCCGCAGTACTGCAGCACTACAGTCACTGCAGTACTTACTACCGTTTTCGGCGGAGAGCAAATCCAACTGGTTTCAAAAAGGACCTTGGTCGTTCGCCCCAACCAAGAACGACAAAGAAGCTTCGCAGTCAGAGACTGTCACGCTTCGCAGCCTTCGCAGTAGCAATCCAAGTGGTGCTTCCAGTATACGAAACCACTAGAATTGTAACCCTTCGACCCAGCTGGTGCTTCGCAGCAATCCAAGTGGTGGTCATGTCTGAAGCTGCTCACCACTGCTCACCACTGCCTCTGAAGCTCACCAGTCGCATCCGAGTGGCGGGTGGTGGCCGGTCCGGTCCTGCGGAGGGCCGGCTTGGGAATGGGCGGAATGGGCGCACCAGCTGAACAAACAAACGTTAAACTTCCATTCCTTCCATTCCTTCCCAAGCAAAACAACCACGACTAAGGATAGTATACCCCCCAAAGATGAGGGATCTTACGTAAACAATATAGTAACAATATACCCTCGACAAATACAGATATATAATATATAGTAGAATCAAATTATACTATACCTTGGGTCTACCCGTCGTGGCCACGGGGGCCTGAAAGCTCAAGTGCTCGGTTCACGGGTCACTTGCACAGAGAAAAACGCCTGCTGAATTGCTAACCTCCGACACACACACACACAACAAAAAAAAACGAATCGGAAGGCAGTTTCTCTGTTAAGAAAAGGGTAGACAGTTGGTCCAAAATCTTCTTGTCCTGCCCTGTCCTTAGTCATAGATTCATCGAATTCTGGGAGTAATCAACATCTCACACCGCATCATCAACAAACAGCTGCAGTTACTTCATGATGGTTGGGATCCTAGCACTTAGCATCACGCCAACCATCCCCGATGCTACCCATCAGCTCTGAGGGTTCCATCCTCCTCCTCCAGGCCCATGTCATCGTCAAGCCCATGGACACCGCCGCAAAGGAACAGTGTCCACAAAGCAGTCCAAAAGATCAGCATCCTAAGGGAGCGACATCTTGGTTTATCATCCAAAGCCAACTCCACTGGGATTGAGGGGTGTCTGAATTCCTCCTCCGGGTCGGTCTCAACTTGAGCCTCCTGTGAAGCAAACAGGTGAGTCTCCTGAAAGAACGGCAGGCCATCAGTGGTGAGTTGTTCTTCAAATGAACGAAAAGGTCCAACAAACACCACATGGCTCTTGGATTGGGGAGGGTCATGGTCATAGTGCAACCGTTCTTTCCGATTGGCAGAACAAAGGAACACACACGCATTGATTAAGAGACACTCACATAATATATTATATATAAAAATGCAAATATACCTAGAAGATCCTTTGGGCAGAAATTCTTGCCTTTTTCGGGAAGAGCGGCTCTTCCCGTCCTGGGGCGGAAATCAGCTGTTTGCCGCGGAAATGTTTTTGTTGCCGCGAATATTCCCTTTCAGGAATCCAGTGAGACAAAGACTACATATTCTAGAGGAGTTGAATATTTTTGTGGTTTACATTGGGCATTTCTGCCTGGAACGGTCACCGCAATGAGAAAAAACAATTTGCAGCGCTTAAGTTTCCACCTCCACCTGCAAATCTGGCTACCATCATATCATATATTATGTGTCTTTGTTTTTGAAGGTTTCTTGTGCGGAATGATCACAAAAGGACTAAAATCAGTCCAAAGTTGAAAACACCTGGCGCGAAAATGCCCGGGAAAAAGGCAGAAATACCCGGGAAAGAGGCGGAAATACCCGGGAAAACGGCGGAAATACCCGGGAAACCGGCGGAAATTTCCTGGTAGAAGGCGGGATTCAAGAACAGTGCCTTTGATGCCTTGAAGGGCTTGAACATATGTCGCAGCCTCTTTGTGAATGTCATGAATTTAGAAGTGTCAAAATCGTAGGGTGTCAGATCTTGAGATGTGAAGCTATGCAGAACGATATGTGGTCTGCAATCATGGAAGAGACAACCTGGTAGGTTGTAATGGTTTTTGAGTTGCTATGTTGGATTTTGCTTGAGGCAAAAATTCCCTGCTGCCCGCGGAAATTCCTACCTGGCGCGGATTTCCCCTAAATCCGCGAATCCTCCCGGGCAAATCGGACTGAGGCAGAAATTTCTGCCCCAGGTGCTTCTAGGTATACATGTAATTTACATGTACATACATACCTACATAGCCTACATACATATATTGTATAGATAGGCTTGATCAACTTGATATAGGCTGATAAATGACGTTGGCAAAATACGGTGCAAACATATGGGCAGCTCGTGGCAACCACAGTAAACCTTGGATGTAGATGATGTAGTCCATTTTGCCGGGGAATCTGTGCTGATCTCTAGATTCTGGGTCCCACATTGGGCACCCGTTCACCAGTTCCAAAGACCGTCTGTACGCACCGCAGCTATCAGGCGACGATCCCGACCGATCAAGCGGACCTATGCTGTCAAGGCACTGACTTAGGTCCCACCGATCGGTGTTCTCTATTCGGAGCGCATCGGTGTTGGCATGGAGCAATTTGGCATGGAACCACTCTCTGTATTCCTTGAGCCCAGTGAGCTTCAAATTCTGGAATTGAACCAAAGACTTGGAGCCGGCAGGTGAAGGGACTTTCATGTTGGTGGGAACGTCTCAAAACCCATTATATAATCATTGTCCCCTTGAGAAGCTTGGCCCGAAAAAAGATCCATTCAGGGTATGTCATCGG